CTACAGTCTGTCACAAACGATGACACAGCGAGACATACCAGCTTACCGGTGTCACATAGTGGCACTTCAAGTGGGAAGATAGCAAATGCAAATCACTTGGGCAATTGGGTTGTGCATCTCCGAAAAGACTTACAAACTGAACCAGAATTGATGAGCCTGTCGAGTAATACATATAAGCAGTCACAGGATCCTCTACCTCACTCGTTGAGTGCTTTCCATTGCTCGTTTCTCATCCTTTAGACTTGCGGCGGTAGAGGAGTCTATTGGTTTGTCCAGGCATGTGCATGTTGAGTTCAATTGCAAACATTCAGATACACAGTCCTCTTCATTCTTCGGTAAAGGAAACAAATTATGTACGAAGCACACAACCAAGTATGGACATGTCTCCATAAACTGCCGTCTTGATTGCTGACTGAAAGCGATGCAAAAGGGACTAAACTCCTTTCTGCACACCAAGAAAACCTGTGATGGGTCCACAACTTGTTTCTGTGCGTCTAACCAGACTTCAACCAAGCTTGACCAAGCTGCAACATCAGAGGGACCCACTGTCATGCCTTTCGTCACCAACCAGGAGGTGTCAATGATCAACAGCCGGTCCTCAGGTTGCGCCATACTGCCCAAGCTACGAAAGCAAGCGCAGTCTGCAGTTCTCCAACGCTGGAAAGCTTTGTGTTCAGCTTTCACAAGTATCGTCACTTGTTCTTTGATTATTTTTATGTTTGCGCCATTTCGTTGAGGTGTGGAACAACTTGTCGAAATAAATGCCTTGGATAAGAAAAATTGCTCTTCGACACTGGGAGTGATTGCATGCCAGGCTGCATCAGTGCGCAGGATCTTGGAGCGCCCCGCGCCCGAGTTCGCTTGCCAAAGAGCAGCAGCAGCATCTCCTCAAAGTTTGGAGTTCTGGGCTCATCAAGCTGCGAAAAAGGCGTGAGGAATGGAAGGAATGGAATCCTCATCTACATCATTGCACTTCTTTGGGAATGGTCCGACCATACCCCGGTTTCTTTTTCTGTTGATAGCCATGGTATGACAGGACAGTCAAACTGTAGGATTCCTCCAATTCGGAATAGGATGGAATAGGATTGTGGGGTGAGCAATCATCCACAGGTCTCTGGTCTCTCCCATCCATCTCCACGTCCAGCTTCGGATCACGATCGCAGGTCCCACTCGCAGCACTTCGTCGCGCTCCGATGTCCTGAAATCGCTGAGTTCATCAACGGGCGCTTCAGCTCGCCGCGTCGAAAGGTTGCTTCCAAGGATTCAACGGAATCTTGTTTGGTACTTGTTTGGTACTATTCTTCAAAGAAGCACACCAACTTTTTGTTCATATGTTGTTGTTTGGTACTCAAACAGAAGTATTCTTCTTGGATGATACAAGCGGATGCAGCCGCACCCTCACAATTGCTGTTTGATGCTAGCTGATTTGGTCTAACAGTCGTCAATGCTTTCAGTCAGCTAGCTTTCCAACGCTAAACACATCAAAACACACTTTGATTGCAAGAGAGCACAGCCAATCTCATGAAGCAAACACCGTGGCTCATGCTACAAATGCAGCTGAGCAAAGAACCTGTTAAGCTCTGTGTCATTGGCGGCACTAGCCCACAGCTGGGCAAACCAGCCTGTTCACTGCACCGGCTGGCACAGGTCTGAATTTGAGTTAGCAGAGAGGGTCTTGGGAGCACCAACTGCTGACAGAAGCCAGGGCACTTGAGTATTCAATGCTAAACGTATTGAAGAAGCATGATGCTGCTGACCCACACGAATATAGTTGGAGGGGTCCAAAGAGCACTTTTCTTTTGGGGTTTCCGACGTGACATGGGACACTGACGCTTGCCACTTTGCACACTTAAGAATTAGCTTAATATTGGTTGATATCATTATATAATTTCCGACAATCCGTTTGAACCTCGTGCAGGGAGCAGGGACACGATCAACATGGGGCAATCCATAACACTCAAAGCTTTCAACACATCACCAGTATTAACAAGTCTCATTCGGGCGAGACCGATTACCAAGCTGGCCATTCTTCGTTTCATGTTGGCAGCACCGGCAGACTTGTTTCTCAAGATTCGTCCCCCATTGTGAATGGCCGAATTCCCGATCTTGCCATATCTTGCCAAGTTGCCATTGTTATTGTTGCTGGAGAGATCCTTACTCCAAGACGTTCTTCCGAATCACAAGGAGTCAAATTAAACGTGTCTCGAAAAGGGAACCTCCCCATACACAGGGTGATAAACTTCCGTCTCATCTTATCTGCGTTCTGAAGGACTCGTGATGAATCTGAATGATTCTCCCAACTCGAGTATCTCTTGATTTGGCCATCAAGTATCTCCATTCTGCGCCATTCGGAGCTTCACTGCAAAGCTCGTTCCAGGCCTTGGCCGATAACCCTGACTGTAAAACTCATAATCGAAGATAGCATCTCATAGTCTCAGACAAACAGGCAACTGTTCGAATTCAAATTCTATACTTGGGATCCTGTAACGCCACTGCGATTCACCACATGCTTCCATGAACTGCAGGAAGTCCTCTTCATTCTCCATCAAATTCGACATCTAGGTCTCCAGCTGCCAAACAAAGTCCTCCGCAAGAACTCCCATAACCTGCAAGCCACGACTACTGGAGGTTCACAGAACTGGCGACACTTCCCACCCACAGATCATTGCCTGCCTGTGCCAAGCGCCCAATTGATGTACAGCTTTGTACAAAGGGCAATGGATCTTGGGATGTAGTGTCCAAGCAGTCGTCCTGAAGGCGAAAGGATTATACTTTTTGATCGTTTTGGATCTGAGATGAAAGTAGAGGCCAGGGTCCACAACTGTTTCTGACACCCAATGGTCTCTCCTAGTCATGTTTGGTATGCTATTAGGTTGGAGGCCATCGCTACAAGGTTGGAGGCCATGTCAAAACATGTGCACAAAAATCAACATCAATTGTTCTGGCCATGTTCTGTCCAGGCCTAGGCCTTGACGACCGCCCCCACTCTAGCGAAGGAGCACCCGCCTCAAATCTGTAAGAGACCGGGGCCATGATCTCCAAGAGGATTGATGAAAAAGCTGGGATGGAAACCTCAAAGGGGCATTGGCTTCATTCGTTGTCGACAACCACACACACACAGTGACACATCCCATAAACTTCTGATTACTGTATTTACCTGTTCCAGGAGAACACGATACTAGATTGGGATGATTTGGGAACATGTGCAGGCTTAGAGCTTTACATCATCTGAGAATTGCTGCCTTCAGTGTTTAGTTCTTGAGCATGTGTGCCCCATGAACCTACCTATGTCCCATGTGGCAATCTAGCTGCGTGACTTCTATTATGAAAATGCTGAAGTCACAGTGGAAACTCATGGTGAGAGGCATCTCAAGTTTTGAAAAGCAATAGCAAATGAGAACCAACATCACGCAGCCAATGATAAGCAAAGACACTGTGCCCAAGACTCTCAGAGAGATTGTAAGATTAGTGGCTGCGGCAATCACCACGTCCTGAACAAAGTCATGCAAACACTGCATGCAAAGCACCAAAACGAGTCCAAAAAAGAAACACAAAGCACAACAAACACGCATCACCGCGCATCACATGTCTCAGACGCATTGAGCTCAGGTCAGAATTTTTCTGAAGCCTATGCTGCATACCCTATGGACACGATTCCTGTTCTTGGGTTCCTGGAACGAAACGACATTGCTCACGGAGTCTCCGTGGAACATCCTCGAAGAGGTTTTGGCAAGGGACATCCTTTTTCTGTGGTTCCTCCTCACACTTGGAAGTGATATGAAGTGACGAAACACCCAAAGCACCCAAGGAAGTAGTATTTGGGAACGTACACCCCAACCCTTTCAGTGTTCTATCCTCCTTTACTTAGCACTTTGCTCCTCTGGATCGATCTCTGCGGTAAACATGGGCAAAGGTTCGAAGCTCAACCAGGACCTCAGGCTTCGGCGATCCCAAAGAGATCAGTCTGGGATACCGCCTCTCAAAGTCAGGGATACGGAGAGATCTTGACCGGTCTGAAGCACCTACATTTTCTTAGCTTTACTTGAAGGGCATTTGTCTCCTTCTTTGACGTCCTTGGTGGCAAAACGTGCTGAAAAATGGCTGTGCAAGGGATGGGTGCAACTAACTATATAATGCTGCATTACTACCTTGATCACAATTATATAGGTCCAAATATCTGCTGAGACATTCGCGTCCTCAGCGGGTTTTCAAGTGTGTGTGTGTGTGTGTGTGTGGGGCTCCTTGCTTCTTTTGTGCACTGTGAGATGACGAAAGCTTGCATTTGTATGTATTGGTGGACATTTGGGATAGGTGAATGGATAGATTTGTGGCGGTCCCGTACCCACATTCATGAAACCAATTGAACACGCCTTATAAGTGTGTCTAAAAATATACTGTATATATATAAATATGCACACACTACACCTTTAGTAGCATATAATTAGTTATCCTCGCAAAGCGACCAATGTGGCATACCGAAACATGTTGGTCACCTGCACTAGCTCGGGGCACCCTTGCCAAACATGGCAATGGTTCACCATAGTGTATCGTTCTTGTCCCTTGTGCCCCATACCCGCCTACTGTAGCGCCCACAATCTTGAACTCTTGAAATCCACTGCCACGCAACAAAACACTCAATGTCCCTTTCCTGCCGCAGGTTTCTTCGTTTCCAGTGGCAAAGACTGAAAGCGGAAGCGCCGAAACGAGCTTTTCCTCGAACTGTACGGAAGTCTATGATGCAACTATGGACAACTTGGAGAGACATGTTCCACACAGGACATGTCTGAGTGATTCTGGCAGATTTCATGGCAGGCTATTTTGTAAATCAAGTCACCTCTTGGGTTGTAGGATTCAGGCAGCAATGTAGCAGCAACATACCCTCCAGCACGGATTTCCACCAAGACCCTTCAGAGCCTTCAACGTATGCCCGCCCTTGCTGCTTTTAGATACTTTGTGATACTTCCAACTGTGACCAAATCCAAAGCGCTGCCTATGCTGACTCACTCTTCGGCCTCAGAAAGATTCCCGACTTGCTGTGTGCGCAGGCGTGCACAGGCGTGCGTGTATTCGTTAATGCCTTCAAAGTGATTTACAACTTAGAACAAATAAATTGTAGTTCTTTCTAAAGGGTGAACGGCTGAGAGCAGCGCGGCAATGGATAGACCTCGTTCGTCCTGCGAATCTAAACTAGCAAGCCAAGGGCCAAGGAAACCTTGATACACTTGGCTGGGTCATAAAGAACCTGGTACAGTAATATCGGGTGACACCTGCCTGGGGGAGATCGCGACATTATGGGAAAGAGATGAACATGGTGCTATTCGCCTGGCATCTGCGCGCTATCAGCAATTAGTTTCAACGAGGGTATCAGCATATCAACCTACAGGACTTGGGATTTGGGGACCAAGTTCTGTCCTCTTCGCAACTTCTTGCAAGGGCAATCATAGCCGGGTCCTCGACCAATCTCTGAAGATCTTTGGCGGTTGTTCTCTCGTCCTCTATATAGATTCCTCTAGGCTGCTTTCATGATATATATATATAATAGGTACCAGGACCATTACATTCTATGGGTGTCCAATGAACTACCCCACACTACCTAAAGGCTTCCATTGGGCACCCCTTGGATGGTCCAGGTACGGTATATACTTAATTCACAACAATGCTGATTGCATCCATGTCTTGTTTACATGCTGTGCACAGGCATGGCCTTTGCTGGCGCCCCAAAGAATCGTAAAGCTGTTGCGACCTGGGTGTCTTGGAGATTCAATATTTTCGGAGTGCAATTTGAGGGTGATGAATCCGGATAAATGATGAACAACATCTTTTCATTCGCCTTGGCCTTTGCATCCTTGTCTACTGAGTCTACTGATCCCAATTACAAGAATGCTTGTCACTGACTCTTGCGCTTGCATGGATCTTCATATATCTTCATGCCAAGAACAGGCAACAAGGCCCCAAACAACGGCTGGGGGGGTATCGCAGCCATTGATGCAACGGCACAGAGTCTGACCTTGGGCGGCACAAGTTCGTCCGACAAAAGAATGCGGCCACGTTCGCAAAAAAAAAGGCAACGGGGGCACGTGGAATCCTGCAAATAACTTGTTTCCTGTTCTTTGGAGAAATGACGAGACATGTCCAACTCAGCCTCCCCACACCAAGCACGTAGTCGCGCCGTTGTGCCCGCGGGAGCCCCATGGTACGCGAAGGGCGACTCGGAAAAGTGCTTGGCATAGCTATGCCCTGAAAGCTCCTGCGTGGCTTCCTTAAACACTCACACTGGCACATCAGTTGCCCTTCGAACGCAAACCTTGCAAGTTGAAGCAACAAGCATATGCAGCATCGTGTTTCTTCAGTCTGAGCAAGTACACGATCTGAGGGGTGGTGAAAGCAGCAACTGTCAGTACCCCTGTTGCATCAACAAGTCGAACGCACCAAGAAAAGCCCCTGGAAAAAATTGGGGCTCTCCTGGTCCTTCTGTCCCCTGAATTGTTGAAAGAATACTGTAGCATACCCCTTCCTGGATGCCATCTCCCCCTCCAATCAGGAAGTAGGTCGTGCAGCCGCTGTCCTTCACGGGGTCATGCAAGCCCTGACGCAAGTGTGCCAGTCTGCGGTAGCACCGCCACTCCTCGAATCTGTTGAGAAGTGCTTGGAAGATCTCGAAATCAATACGTCTTGCAAAAGGCAACATGACACGGTCAGCATGTGGGCATGTATTGTGCAACTATTTTGACATCTAAAATAGACGGGATATCTTTCCTGAGGAGCCACACCCAATTTTTAGATAGTAACAAGTGCCTCGCTAGTAGTAACAAGTGCCTCGCTAGTAGTAACAAGTGCCTTGCTAGTAGTAACAAGAAGCTAGATATTATCAACCGATCCCAGGCCTTTCAAAGAACGTCAAGCCAAGGTTCTGAACGGGCAAATTCCATGCAGGGGCCTGACGACAGCACTGCCACAGATCGATCTGTCAGAGCGTGTGCCCAGTGCTGTCAGGTGGCGCCACACGGCACAGTCGATGATGTACCACGTGTGGGATCCCAACTCCTTGAGCACTCGTGGGGGGCTGAAACTTGAGCTCGTCCCTCCATTTTTGGGCAATGCATATCCTCAGTCCTCACTCAGCCCACCCTGTGGCAATGTAATCAATGGAACACGGGCCCATTTTGGAGATTGCTTGTTGTATGTTGCTGTATGAGTTTTGGATACGTGCAATGAGAGATACATTGACATATTTTCAATACAGTCGCTGCTACGTCCGGTACGCACCCCAGCACCCCTGGTACTGGTCCTCGTGTCCACGGATGACAATCTCCAACATGGGCTGGACCTGCGGGAAGCTGCAGCATGCCAATTTTTACCTAGACGTTGTCCATGAGAGGTTATCACCAAACGGGTCCCACGGGTGTGTATTTAGTAGGGAGACACCCAACCAATGGTCTTTAAGAGTTGTATCTGGGGTCGATCCCTAGCCTCAGCCGTGTGGCAGTCATGCTCACCATCTCATTTGTAAGCTTTACGGTCATGGACCTGCCCATCAAACCACCACATGGCAAGGGTAGCCCGTGGAGGCTTTGCCATTAAATGATCCTCGTATCCAACTGCTAACAGGCAAACACTTTTCGCCTAGTAGTCCAACACTTGGAAACCTTTTCCAAGCAACACTTGACACCTCGAAATCAGAAGACTGGAGCAAGCAGTATGGCAGCCCTTGGCTTCGATAACACAATCAAAGCTGGGGTGTCAAGCTGCCCGGTCTTGCCGAATGCGGGAAGGACCATGTCCATTCTCAACCGACCATCCACTGGGCCTCGATGATAGCATGCCAACAGTCTCCTAATCCTCGTTTGTCGGACATATCATATCATTCAAATAACGGTGTAACCTGAAAGATCGCGCTTACAAATCCATTCGCAAGCCAGGTGGTCTCGATACACTTCCTGACCCCTATCCGAATTAGGTGACTCAACCAATGCTCTATAACTCACTTTGACTTGAATGCACCGGCACAGGTTCGTGGCCATAGAGCCGAATTCACATGCAATTTGTATACACACGTGGACACTCATTGCACGTGTACAGCATACTTCACACAGTCATGTTCGTCATCTGAAAGTAAACACTTTCAACTCCCCAATACCGTGTACCCACCGCAATATATGACGAGGGGCCGGTTGTGGGAGGTGCTCATCAAACGGACGTCCGCAAGTCGTGCCACCCAACCAATTGGTTTTGGTCTATTTTCCTTCTTCCAGGTGCTCTTTGGGGGGTCTCCCTATTCTACTACGTAAATACCCGCAGAACACCACCACCATGCAATACTGATGCATTGTCACTACGGCACCATCATCTACAGTGAGGCACCACTGTCTCTTGCTCTAAAAACTTTACATCCACATCCTGCAGGACCACTGTACGTACGAGTACACACAAACACCCAAACTTGGCAACACGGGCTGTGGAATATGGGAGCACAATTTCAGTTTGGCTTTCTGTCCAATTCAAAAAATATTGACGATGCACCTTTTCACACCCAATTGTATGCGCCAAGATTTGACGGCAAGCAGCCCACCCAACATCAACTACGCCTACCCATTTACTACAGGAACCTGACAAAGGCATCCCCCAGTCATCCCTGATCACTGTTTCAATGCCAAGTCACCATGGCAACGCTGTTTCCAAAAAGTCATCCCCCAGTCACCCCCGGGAACCAACCCCAATGGAACGCTGATACCCAAACAAGGTTTGTCACCAAAGAAGCCGACCCAATGAGTGCAAAGATCAATGAGTGCAAAAACCAATGGAACGCTAATTCTGAAAGAGTGTGGGTTTGATTGATTTGCATCCGCTTACTCATCCGCTTCCTGCGTGTCAATCCCAATGGAACGCTGTAGAAATTCTGCCACCAACTTTAGGCACATCAGGTGACTTGACTTGAGGTGACGGAGGTGGACGAACAGCAGCAGCGGCGGCGGCGGTAGCGGCAGCAGTGGCCTATGGTGGAGTCAAAGGTCTGCCCCCTACTCGAAAACAGCTAATCCGCGAGTAGTGGCCCGATGCGATCGGGTCACATCAGGGTCACATCAAGTTCCTGTTTACAAGGAGGCGCTTACAGATTTTTATCGATTGAAAGAACGTTTGGGTTTTGCATCAAAAAATCCAACTACAGCGTGGAAGTAGCCGAGCAGTGGCAGCAGCACACAAGCAGCAGCACACGAACAGCAGCAGCAGGAGGATGATGGCTCTGGGTGAGATCTGGGCGAGATCCAGGCGAGGTCCAAAACTGCACACCCCCGACCAAAACGATGCCAAGCCTAGACAGTGGCAGAAAAGCGGTACCACCAAAGCGCGCACCTCTGCCTACACTGGAAATAAGAACCCCACTAGCTCTCCCAGTAGCTCTCGCTATCTTGGCGTAATCTGTCCAAGTCCACAGGTGTTCCATTGCGAACTGCACTGGCAAGCCTGGAAATGACTGTGTTGCTTGCTGTACTTGTCTCGCATGTGTGTGAAAAGTTCCTTGTGGACTGCTTGCAGGACCCACTACAGAATAAGAAATTCATTGCTTCAGCAGGCATTATCAAAACATCTTTCGATGAGAGCCCCAGCATACAACCTAAAAGTAGGTCCCTTTCCAACCAACAGAGTTCGCTTGTGTTTGGGAAAAAGAGACGACTTTCCGCAGAGCCTTCCCCCCAAGGCAGGGTAGCAATCACCAAAAAAAAAGTGACGACGTTGTCTTTTGCCTGTAGTGTGAAGCCACTACCCCTCGTGGGCCATGTGGCCTCATTCGGCCGGAAGTTCGGCCTCCTCTTTGGCCCTCGTCAAATGCTTGCCACTCCAGAGAGCACCACTGTCCGCAAGCATTCCGAAGTTGCTCAGGTACTCCTTGGTAGCGGCATAAGAATCATGCCCAAATACTTCCAATATGTTGCGATTGCAGGACAAAAACTTACTGGTAACAACTGCTGTCAGGTGTGGGACCTTGAATCAAAACACTGGACATTTAATGAACTTGATAGGACATGAATCTAGAAAATAGAGGTGCTTAAAAATAAACACAATTCAAGCAGAGTCCCACTTGAACATAGTCAGCCGCGTTCACCCCTTGGATTCTTAAGTTGGGGGTGTTGGGAATAGAGGATACATTTATCGAGGTTGAGGCCATCCAGTCTCCTATACATTGGACTGCTTTCGACCATCAGAAAGAAACGAACAACACTTTGATGCTGAGAAGTACATGCAAGAGTGCGATTCAGTAGTATATATTTCAATGTATTTATTACAAAGTCACCTACAGAACTTGGGCTGAGACACTAGAAAATCGAACTTGAACAAATGTTGCTTCACAGTAGAGCCAGACTTTGAGGCCACCTATTTTGCCAGAGAAAATACACAAACAGGAATCCTTGGACAAAACTACTCCATTGGATTCATAAACTGTCCTATCTGTTCCTATGGACCAACATGGACCAACCAGGTTAATCCAGGTGACCACCGCACAAAATTCACAACATTTCTCGGTCTTTCCAGCCCAAGCCGTTGAGTCCTTTTGTCCAAGGCGCTGGACTGCACGAGCGGAGTTCCTCCGAAGTCGCTTGTGCCAAAGCCTTCTCTGCGAGACTGCACCGTGCCGCCGCCTGGACATAGAGATTTCTGAGCTTTCACCATTACAATTCTAATGGATCATCCGTGTGACTGGTCAAAACAGTGGAAAACGGAAGTTTTAGTTGATAGATGGTCCACAAAAACAGCTCCTGGTTCCCTTTTCCTTGGAAGAAAGCCATCCTATCGTTGGACCCATGGTGCCTCAGCCTCCTCTTTGTTGGGCCCGGGCGGCGCCTCGCGCACGAGCGAACTTCGGCACGACACTCGAGCGTCGGTGTCAAGAGCTTCCATGCACTACTACTAGTGGCTTCTTGTTACTAGTGGCTTCTTGTTACTATAGAAATGCCCTTTGCTCCTAGCTTCTTGCTCCTAGTAGCGATGCCGGGGTCCAGGGGAGGTCCGGAAGAACTTTGCATTTCGGGGATGGACAAACGGATGCGTCTTCTTCTTTGTCTTCGGGGTTCGGGTCATCAAGTTGGCCGCCCCCAAACAAACAGCTCAGCTATGGGCGATATACCCTGTTTATATAGATAAGAGATTGATCACTCAACAGGCATTCTTATGATCCCCTGCAAGTCTTAAGTGATCCATTGCGTCAGAAATTGACAGGGAGCATCCAGCCTGCTCCATTTCAGTGAAGCCCAGCTTCTTCTGCTTTGCAGACACAGAAGCTCTGACATCAGCACTCTTCCCATTCCTCTTGCCCTCTGGCATGGTGGACTAAGAGCGCACCGACCTTGCTACTGCATGCTACTGCTAGAGTCACAGGCCACCTGGGATGTTTAAGTTTATTCACTGCAAACACATATCGAGGGTTGGCTGAGTATAAGTGGAAGTCAACTTGGGTGTACAGCCTCCCAAAAGGCGTAGGCAATGTTAGAGACGAACAAATTTCATCTCAAACCTGAAGTGGTTCCATGTTGCATGCTTAACACTCGGAGTCAATATGGATCAACGTCTGTACACCATCGTACCTTTCTTTCTACCTGCGAGCGAATCTGGGCCCAACGGCGGCGCACAGGAGTACCATGAGTGCAGCAACCGGCGCTCGTCAGCGTCATGTGGAGCGGCTTCTGCCGAGTTGCTAAGCGAATTGATTTTATGTTGTGCAACAAGACACACAGTTGCATTGAGGTGTATGGACCATCGTGAGAATTAGCTGAGACATATGCCGGTTGCATGGTCGTATTACCAAGTTCAATCAAGTGATAGCAAGTCTAAGCTTGCCACAAATTCTAGTTCAAATCATCAAGCCTGAGCCCTTCTGCGTCCTGTCGGTAGTAGCTTCTTACCTCTTTACCTACCTGGGCTTAACAAAAAACCCTTGCCAAAGCTTACATCTAAGTTCAGGGCAGGCGGCGGTTTGAGTTCAGGACAAGTCCCGAAGTGGCCTGTGCCAACATCTGTCGTATGGGCCAGGCGCAAGAGTCGTCTAGATGCTCCTGGAACTCTTGCAACCAAAACTGTACGAGAGATCAGTATTCAAAAAGCGCAAGGATCGTAGTGGTCTCATATACACATTCTGTCGCATACTTATACTTACAGTATTACAAAGTGTCTGAATCCCCTCACTTCTTACCGCTCACAAGTTTTGCAACACGAGCCGCCCATCAGCTCCCAACTAGGACTCTGGCATCCATGGTCTCCACCAGCCAGCCTCTCATGTGACCAAGGAAAACATAAGCTTCTTGTAAAGAAGGTTGGTCACCAGCACAAAGGTATGCTTTTTTCCCCAACATTCGTGAAGCAAAATGCTATTCTTAAAAGTCTCGAAGACACGTCCTGAGACAGCGAAATCGCACGTTCTGACAGTGAGTTGTTAGGTCAATTGGAACCTGAATGACTCCGCTCAACCATAGAGGCTAGCAAAAAAAGGCGGAGAACAAACCACTGAGCTTCGTACGATTGTAGTCTTTGTCCTTCTCATCCAGATCCTAGCATTTCAATATCCGTGTCTCCTCTCAATATCTCTCAAAGGCCAGTTTCTTTGTTACCCCCAGCAGTACCCCCAGCAATGTCCTGTTGGTGCAGATCCGTCGGTATCCGTCGGTCCCGTCGGTCCTCGGGGTTCTGCAAGGTGAGCTTGAACTCTATGAGTTCTGACAGTTTTGTGTCCTTGAAGGAACGGAATGGGAACCCATGAACCAAACGGGAATGCAGGTGATGCCACGGAATCCCACGGATTCCAAAAGAAAAAGAGATAGGAGACTGAAAGGATGAAATGAAAGTGGGGTTCTAGACTGTTGGATTGATTTGTCCCAAATGTCGTATGTCCAAGAGGATTCTTTATGTTGCAGTTGCAACATCTAGATTCTTGAACCTCAAAGAAAATCCCCAAGGCTGAGATGAGAAACGCTCCCTAGGGCACGAAGAAATAGACTCCTCAACACGTCATCGAAATCACGGTGCCACTAATGTTTGATGAGTGGAGGTCGATTGAAAACGATGCCTCCAGCTCCAGCTGTTCACAATGGTCACTTGCCTGCAACCACTGCCATCATTGGTTCTAGGACCTGTCTAGGTCTGCAGATTGTCACAGGGATTTCTGGAAGTCTCTAAGGCGGATTCACTCCAAACCTCCTTCGTCGTATCAATAAACATCTGAAGGATACCACACTTATTGTCTTGAGATATCTAGAGGGATTAGTACGTCCCAGTGGGTACAATTAGATAGAGTTTGACTCTCAACAGGATGGTCATTGATCACGGTTGAGAAACATGAGCATAACCCCAAGAGTGTATAGGGTGACTCTTTTTTCGCAACATACGAACTGAGTCATTCATTTTCGGAGATCATCATGATGCCGTTGAAAACCTCAAGCCAATCGACCCCCAAATCTCACCCACTCTCAGGCCGATACCACTAGGACCCGCAACATCAGGACATCAACCTTTGAAGCCAATGAGGTAGATGCAGAATCTCATGATCAAAAGTGATACACTTCGCAGATTTTCGGTTTGGTCGCTGTTGCGACTGGACCCACTGGAAAACATGTCAAGGCGATCCCGGAGATCCATTCAAAACGCAGTGCTCACATGATCCACTCAGCAACAAGACGTGTGAAAAGTAATTAGACTATGCATCTGGATGCCTTGCTAAGTTTTATGTTGTACAAGACTAGGCTTCCGATATGCTGCCATCCACGTTGACTTCACCTATCTAATGGAGATTCACCAACGCACTTTCAGGAAAGAAGCAAGAGCATGATCCACCCAGGGCTTTGTTTCTCGATGAGTGCGGCAGGGCACCAGAACATCGGGCGCACCGCTTCCATACACTTCGGACCTCAAAGAGCAAACCCTTTCGGCGACAAGAGAGCTTGACTGGACCCTAGTAGCGATGCCAACCCTAAAGCGACATTCAAGAATCTGTTCCAAATAGACCATGGTTCGCAAGGAATATACAGCCAAAGATCTTCGCAATCAGTCTGAACCAAACACATCTAAAGACCCAGTACTCCACTCAGTCTGAGCCACCAGCGCATTCAGCCTGGTGCGCAAGACTGCCTGAATGAAGCGATAGTTGGCAAAACTTGTCGTAGGCAATGGGTTTGAAATGGTTTGAATAGGATCTAAGTTGTCACTGTGTTTTCCATGGCTGGGGAACGCGGTTTGCAATCCCTTTCGAACGGAAAAAGTCCGCTGAGCTTCCCCGGCGCTAGCAGCGGCCAGTGCAGCAAAGTGCCTTGAGACCTCCAGGCAGGCGGAATTGCGGTGGAGCCACACGCAATGAGCCATAGTATCACACAAATACCATGCAATGCCGATCAGGAATCTTTTAAGTCCACATCGTCCACGGTACACATGCAAGCAAAGAGAAATGTCCAAGCAAAGCATTAATATGGCAAACAGTACCAACGTGTACCAAACATCTCTCAAAGCTTTTCATCAATGTCCTGAGAACCCAGCACCCTGGAAATAGTTCACTTGATTCAACATGAAGCCTGGAGGACATGTGACCTCAGCGGCTGGCCGAAGTGGAGGTCTGGAAGATCGGCCGATCCGGCACCCAGACATGTTCCAACGATGCGATGACGTCCATGCGATGGGAACCATGTTCCATGCCTATGAAATTGTAAAGAAACATGCGATGCCCTGGGCCAATTATGCCACTTCCAAGATAGGTGGCGATGAAGTCCTCTATTTCGGCCGGGTGGAGTTGGGGAACCAGGTCTCAAAGCACACCCAGAAATGGCCACGGATTTGATCAACAAAAGACCCAAGATGACTACACATCCCATCTACATGCCTCCACCGACATATCCCGACTCCTAAGCAAAAACCTCTCTGCCTCTAGGGACCTGGCTCGAACCACACTGCCTGCCAGCAAGGGTACAGTCACTTGCATGCTGAAGGATAGCCTCAGCTGAAAAATGTCGCTGAGCCCCTCAGAAGACCAGGGGCTCCTGGCCTTACTACTAGGAGCAAGGACGCTAATAGATGCCAATAGGGGCTCCTGGCATCGCTACTAGGAACAAGAAGCTACTAGGAGCAAAGGGCATCACTGTTGGGGATGGACTCGAGTGGATTCATTCAGGCGGCAAATCCTAAAGCTTCACCCAAGGTATCTGAATCGATGAGCTCATCAGCAAGTGGAGATTCGAGTCTTTTGGAAGACCGATTAAACCGAACCACTATAGCAAACTTTATTGCGGCCAACATGTCCGTCCAGAATAGGCAACGTTCAGTCTCGAACCCTCTCCGTATAAACCGAGCCTTCCTCCCATCGTTGCTGTTTGGCTTTTCTCCTCTTCCCTATCCTTTCCCTTTCCTTCTCTTTCTCCGGTTCCCTTCAAGTTCCCTTCCTTTCATTTGCATTCCTCCTCATCTTTTTCATTTGACTCTCTTCTTCAGGAGGTTTGCTCTGCTATTTTCCGTAAACAACCGAGCTTTGTTCTATTGAAACGGTTACGACGGCTACCACTCATGAGGCCTGGGCCCTCCATAGTATCTTATGCATGCCGGCTGCCAACCCTACGTGCCGCATTTCCTTTAGGCTCCTTTCATTGTCCTCTCAAATCAGCTTGGCATGGGATTGAGGAACTCGGGAAGTCTGATTGGATTCCAAATCTCAGTCAGTGCCCAAAATTTCTCATTGCCTCCCAACAAATGATGTTCTTTTGTCCCTGATTTAGGGGCAGGCCTCTCCTTTCAAACCTTCTAAACATTCTAGACTTCTATATATCGCTTTCTATGTTTCTTTTTGAAATCCAACCTTGGCATACCTGTTCAGCAAAGAACATCATGCACTTCATAGGAGAGTTTCACACTGCAGTCCCAAAAACATCTGAAGTGCATTCGGTCCAGGTGGCATGTTTGATGCTCCGGCTTGCAAGTTGCTGGCAAAGGAATCTGCCTTAAATAACAAGCGAACGAACAAAGCACCACAAGCTCAGCGCTGGACATTCTACAGTGCTCGTGTCATTGGCGGGTTGGCGTGGAGTCTACATCTCAACTGTCCTTGTCATTTCACAGGTCTTGTGCACAATTCTTATGTGGGTTCCAAGTGAGGTAGTTTCAGTTCTTCGTTTCGTGGGTGACCCTTCTCGTCAAACAGTCTCACAATGTCTCACGATGTCTCACGATGTCTCGCGATGTCTCACGATGTCTCACGTCTCACCCGACTGGAGGAAACCATCTTCAAGAGCCCAGAAAGCTTAAGCTAGGCAAAACCTGGTGACCTCAGCAAAATCTAGGAGTTTATCGTTTTTCAA